GAACGGCTCCATGTTTCCTGACATTGTTTCTAGTCTAGCTAAAATCACTATGATCTGATTGTTGTTTTCCATGGCATTGCTGCTGAACACATACAGCACCAGTCAAAAGTTTGGACACACCTACTCATTCAAGGGTTTTTCTTTATTTTTACTATTTTTCACATTGCAGAATAATAGTGAAGACATCAAAACTATGAAATAACACATATGAAATCATGTAGTAACCAAAAAAGTGTTAAACAAATCAAAATATATTTTAGATTTTAGATTCTTAGTAGCCACCCTTTGCCTTGATGACAGCTTTACACACTCTTGGCAATCTATCAACCAGCTTCATGAGATAGTCACCTGAAATGCTTTTCCATTAACAGGTGTGCCTTGTTAAAAGTTCATTTGTGGAATTCCTTTCCTTCTTAATGCGTTTGAGCCAATCAGTTGTGTTGTGACAAAGTAGGGGTGGTATACAGAAGATAGCCCTATTTGGTAAAAGACCAAGTCCATATTATGGCAAGAACAGCTCAAATAAGCAAAGAGAAATGACAGTCCTTACATTACCTTAAGACATGAAGGTCAGTCAACCTGGAAAATTTCAAGAACTTTTAAAGTTTGTTCAAGTGCAGTCGCAAAAACCATCAAGCGCTACGATGAAACTGGCTCTCATGAGGACCGCCACAGGAAAAGAAGACCCAGAGTTACCTCTGCTGCAGAGGATAAGTTCATTAGAGTTAACTGCACCTCAGATTGCAGCCCAAATAAATGCTTCACAGAGTTCAAGTAACAGACACATCTCAACATCAACTGTTCAGAGGAGACTGCGTGAATCAGGCCTTCATGGTCAAATAGCTGCAAAGAAACCACTACTAAAGGACACAAATAATAAGAAAAGACTTGCTTGGGCCAAGAAACACAAGCAATGGACATTAGACCGGTGGAAATCTGTCTTTTGGTCTGATGAGTCCAAATTTGAGATTTTTGGTTCCAACCGCCGTGTCTTTGTGAGACGCAGAGTAGGTGAACGGATGATCTCTGCATGTATGGTTCCCACCGTGAAGCATGGAGGAGGAGGTGTGATGGTGTGGAGGTGCTTTGCTGGTGACACTGTTAGTGATTTATTCAGAATTCAAGGCACACCTAACCAGCATGGCTACCACAGCATTCTGCAGCGATACGCCATTGAATCTGGTTTGCGCTTAGTGGAACACTCATTTGTTTTTCAACAGGACAATGACCCAAAACACACCTCCAGGCTGTGTAAGGGCTATTTGACCAAGAAGGAGAGTGATGAAGTGCTGCATCAGATGACCTGGCCTCCACAATCACCCGACCTCAACCCAATTGAGATGGTTTGGGATGAGTTGGAACGCAGAGTGAAGAAAAAGCAGCCAACAAGTGCTCAGCATATGTGGGAACTCCTTCAAGACTGTTGGAAAAGCATTCCAGGTGAAGCTTGCCAAGAGTGTGCAAAGCTGTAATGAAGGCAAAGGGTGGCTACTTTGAAGAATCTACAATCTAAAATATATTTTGAGTTGTTTAACACTTTTTTGGTTACTACATGATTCCATATGTGTTATTTCATAGTTTTGATGTCTTCACTATTATTCTACAATGTAGAAAATAGTAAAAAATAAAGATAAACCCTTGAATGAGTAGGTGTGTCCAAACTTTTGACTGGTACTGTATCTCCGACCGTTACATTTCTAAACAAGCGTCAGCAGGTTTGTGTCTTGTTGAATGAACTAATCTATTGATATGTTCTTCAGTCTCACCCTCCGTATGAAGAGAACAACAGTGTACTCCAGGGTTCTTCAATTCCGGTCCTGGAGGGCCGAAACACCTCTGTTATTCATCCACTCCTTCTAATCAGGGGCTAATTCAGACCTGGGACACCAGGTGAGTGCAATTAACTACCAGGTAGAAATAAAAAACAGAAGTGTTTCGGCCCTCCAGGACCGGAATTGAAGAACCCTGGTGTACTCATTGACCTTGTCAGAGAACATCTCCTTTAGTCTCCTTCACTCTATGTTCTTGTGGTGTGAATCGACCCAGCTGAAGGACCAGTAGGAAGGCATGAGGTCCAGGGGCACACAGAGACAAGGCCTTTTCCATCTGGGCCTCTCCAGAGAGCTCACTTTTGAACAAGCATGGAGTCTCAACCACTGTCACTCCTCTCCCACACACTTCTGCCTCTGCTTTCCAAAAGTCATTGGTCAGGGAGGAAAGACCAACGCAGTCCAGATTCAAATGCCTCTCTGTCTAGGCCAGTGTTACTTTTTATTTTATTTTATTTTTTTATGCCATTTAGCAGACGCTTTTATCCAAAGCGACTTACAGTCATGCATGCATACATTTTTTTTGTGTATGGGTGGTCCCGGGGATCGAACCCACTACCTTGGCGTTACAAGCGCCGTGCTCTACCAGCTGAGCTACAGAGGACCACAGAGTTACCCGCAGTGCTCTTCCCCACTCCGCACCAGCCAACCAACATCAGTCTCAGGCTGGAGTCATCAGACCGTGCAATGAAATAAAACACTATTGTCCGGTTTCCTGGACACAGATTAAGCCTAGTCCTGGACTAAAAATCATTCTCAATGGAAATTCTCCATTGAAAGTGCTTAGAGATTATGTCAGTGACTACATGAAAATATACAAGAGCTGCTCCTGATCGTTGATGGGCTTCTTGTATCTTTTGACATGCAGCTAGAACATATCCCAACAGCAGGGGCGGTGTGTTCAATAGGGCGATATGGGCGACGCACTGCCAAACGGGAAAAGGAAGGGATTTTTTTTCTAATCAATTATATCACGGCAACAGTAGTTATCAGTGTTGTAATCTAGACGTCTGATCTGCCACAGTGCCACTAAATGTCCAATCAGGCTAAAGTCGTGCTTCAAATGCCCCCCCCCCCCTTTTGGGGCGATTTCAGTCAGGTTGAAAATCGCCCAGAAGTCTGTCATAGACTCCCATGTAAAATCTATTTTTTTCAAATATCAGAGCTTTCAATACAATCTCTATGGGTTTCTGAGGGCTTGCACTTACGCGCTTTCGTCATACGTAACATATAACCATGAACGTAACTAAGAAAAGAGCGGGTAGCAGCGTCAATCAATTCACTACTTCTATCAAAATGGCTAGGCTTCAGTGCAACTCGATTGTGTCTTTGAAAGAAGTTCCTTTTTGTCGGCGAACAAATGAAGATAAATTGGCAACGAAACAATTAGGACCTCCCAGACCAAATTTAATAATTCAACAGGTTTCTACTAAAGGGGGGAAGTCCTACACCCGAGGATTTTCCAAAAATTGGTACGAACGAAAAACCTGGCTAGCAGGCTGCGATGTAGCTAATGCAGTCTTCTGCTACCCCCTGCTTACTCTTTCACCCTGAAGGCGGCACGGCAGACAGCACCGCTTGGACAGCGACTGGTGTGTAACGGACATGCACCATCTTTCAGGAAAGATTAAGAAACATGAGCTGTCAAAGACCCACATGGATAGCTGTTTGAGATTGTCTGCTTTGGGGAGAGTGAACATTCCCACTCAACTGGATGAGGGATACAGGCTAGCTGTCCGCCGCCACAACGATGAGGTTAGTGTTGATAATCACAAGTTTACTGGAGAACTGAAACTGACAAGGCTGACAAGATAGGACCCTTTTGTCCATTGTTATTGGATAGAACTTATAACCAGCTCCTGACCTAAATAGATCTTAGCACAACATTTTACTCAACATATCATATTCCATATTCACTATAACAAATATATTTACTACGACATTAGCAAGAACCGCCACATCCTCAGCCGGCTAATCCAGTGTGTGAAGTTTTGCGGAGTGTTTGAGTTAGCTTTGCGAGGCAAAGATGAAACTGAGGGCTCCACCAACCCTGGTAAGCCAACACTTTTGAGATCAGTCAATAAATGCTTCTGGTATTGACTTATATGCTGCCCCTGTCTTCATGTTGTTGCTGGACATATCTTTTTTAAAATGTGTGTAGGTCACCTAAATCATCAGAAAAATTGCCCCCCCTGAGAATTTTTTCAGGAGCCGCCACTGCCCAACAGTACGCTGAACTTCAATTCTGAAAATATGACTCATAACCAGCTAAAGCTATAAGTGATTGCCATCATAAATAATTTGGTAACACTTTACACTTTACTTTACTGGTCTATGAGGAGGGCTTAATTTAATCATCATTAAGTGGTTTTGTAAAGAAATAAAACACACCCGATTCCTAGCTTGTGCCATTCATATTTGGTTGTAGATGTGTGCAGTAAATTCATACAATTCTTTCTGCGCTCCCCTTGTAAAAAAAAATGATTCCTTCTAGTCTATAAACACAAAGCACATGACTTTACAGATAACATCTGCATTTATTTATTTTTTGGTACAGATGAAGCAAAGAGATGAATAGTTTCCTCTTTGTGAAATATGAATGGTATTCAGGTCAGTACCTTGCCTTTTCTTTACCACCTGCACATTTTTTTTTTTTATGATCATTGCAATAGAGGGTTAGGGTTAGCAATAGTATGTTATGGTCTAGTATTTATCTGTGTACCGTTTTTTTAACCAAAGAACAGTAATGCAATTCCTTTCCTCATCATCAGATGTGACACCCATTTATGGGCATGGCATATCCATGTTATTATAGGTCTCAGAGAGGGAAACTACGCATTTCTGAAAGAGGATCCAAGAGCAGAAACACATCACTCGAACTACACTGTTCACATTCAAAGAAATCAATGAGTTTATAAAAAAAAAAAAAAAATGAATGTCAATGCAAAATCTATACTGTGTTGTACTTAATACAATCAGTTTAGCAAATAACATATAGCAGACAAATTGGGTAGAACATTTTCTCTGAGTTTTCCACTTGGAAAGGTCAGTTGAACAGGTTTTCCAGTTGGAAACTTGTGTTTCAGAGTTTCAGCAGAGCGCTTGAATACAGCATTAACGATGCCATATATTCCATCATATATTTTCAAAAATATATATTTCTTGACAGAGCACAAGCAAGATGTGTGTACTTGTCATCTGACAGGGAATGGGGCACTGAGAGAGACGGTTGAGCGGAGGATTGCGCTAGTTGGGAAGACGGGAGTAGGGAAGAGTGCAGCAGGAAACACCATCCTGGGGACAGAGGCTTTCGAGTCTGAACTGAGTTCAGAGTGTAAAAAAGCCAAAGGAGAGGTGGGAGGGCGAAGGGTTGCAGTTATCGATACTCCAGGCCTCTTTGACACATACTGTATTATACCAAAGAATAAGTGCATCTCCCTCACAGGAGGCTGCTGAGGGGAGGACGGCTCATAAGAATGGCTGGAACGAAGCGAATGGAATGGCATCAAACACCTGGAAACCATGTGTTTGATGTAATTGATACCATTCCACTAATTCCGCTTCAGCCATTGCCACGAGCCTGTCCTCCCCAATTAAGGTGCCACCAACCTCCTGTGATCTCCCTGTCTTCTCCTGGTCCTCATGTGTTCTTGTTGGTGATCCAACTGGGCAGGTTCACAGAGGAAGAAAAGGAATCAGCGTGACTCAGTTTGTAGAGCATTGCACTTGCAACGCCAGGGTTGTGGGTTCGATTCCAACGGGGGACCAGTACGAACAAATATGAAAATGTATGCACTCACTACTGTAAATTGCTATGGATAAGAGTGTCTAGTGAAAAAGATAATTGAGACAACATTTGTTGAAGAGTCAACATATACAATGTTGCTTTTCACTTATGGAGACAGGCTCAAGGGACAACCAATTGAGGAATTTGTGGCGAAGAGCCCAGACCCTCAAAACCTAATTCAGAAATGCCAAGGGTGATATCATGTGTTTAACAATTAAGTTTAGAGTCCCTCAAAGACCATTGAGCTTCTTGACAAAATTGACAGGGTGGCCATGGATAATGGAGGAGGGTACTACACCAATGAGATGTACCAGAGAGCAGAGGAGGCTACCGAAAGGAAGGAACAGAGAATGTTTAAGGAGACGAGGAGAAGAAATGCTGAAAAGAGGAAGAACTGAAGGCTGTATTTGAAAAAGAGTATTCACATCAAATCAAATTGTATTTATAATATTTGCCGAATACAATTTGGTGTAGACTTTACAGTGAAATGCATGCTTACGAACCTTTCACAACAATGCAGAGTTTTAAAAAATTATAATAAACTGAAAAAACTGTAGAATACACAAGAATGGACCTGTATTTGGGGAGTTTCTCCCATTATTCTCTGCAGATCCTCTCAAGCTCTGTCAAGTTGGATGGGGAGCTTCACTGCACAGCTATTTTCATGTCTCTCCAGAGATGTTCAATCGGGTTCAAGTCCGGGCTCTGGCTGGGCCACTCAAGGACATTCAGAGGCTTGTCCTGAAGCCACTTCTGCATTGTCTTGGCTGTGTGCTTAGGGTCGTTGTCCTGTTTGAAGGTGACCCTTCGCCCCAGTCTGAGGTCCTGAGCGCTCTGGAGCAAGTTTTCATCAAGGATCTCTCTGTACTTTGCTCTGTTCATCTTTCCCTCGATCCTGACTAGTCTCCCAGTCCCTGCTGCTGAAAAACATCCCCACAGCATGATGCTACCACCACCAAGCTTCACCGTAGGGATGATGCCAGGTTTCCTCCAGACATGACGCTTGGCATTCAGGCCAAAGAGTTCAATCTTGGTTTCAGCAGACCAGATAATCTTGTTTCTCATGGTCTGAGAGTCCTTTAGGTGCCTTTTGGCAAACTCTAAGCGGGCTGTCATGTGCCTTTTACTGAGGAGTGGCTTTCGTCTGGCCACTCTACCATAAAGGCCTGTATGGTAGAGTGCTGCAGAGATGGTTGTCCTTCTGGTAGGTTCTCCCATCTCCACAGAGGAACTCTGGAGCTCTGTCAGAGTGCCCATCGGGTTCTTGTTCACCTCCCTGACCAAGGCCCTTCCCCACCGATTGTTCAGTTTTGCCGGGCGGCCAGCTCTAGAAAGAGTCTTGATGGTTCCATACTTCTCCCATTTAAGAATGATGGAGGCCACTGTGTTCATGGGGACCTTCAATGCTGCAGACATTTTTGGGTACCCTTCCCCAGATCTGTGCCTCGACACAATCCTGTCTCGGAGCTCTACGGACAATTCCTTCGACCTCATGGCTTGGTTTTTTGCTCTGACATGCACTGTCAACTGTGGGACCTTATATAGACAGGTGTGTGCCTTTCCAAATCATGTCCAATCAATTGAATTTACCACAGGTGGACTCCAATCAAGTTGTAAAAACATGTCAAGGATGATCAATGGAAACAGGATGCGCTTGACCTCAATTTCGAGTCTCATAGCAAAGGGTCTGAATACTTATGTAAAAAGGTATTTCTGTTTTGTATTTTTAATACATTTGGAAACATTTCTAAAAACCTGTTTTCACTTTGTCATTATGGGGTATTGTGTGTAGATTGATGAGGAAAAAAACGTAACGTAACAAAAGCTGTAACGTAACAAGTCTCGCTCTGTCATAGCCGGCCGCGACCAGGAGACCCATGGGGCGGCGCACAATTGGTCCAGGGTAGGGGAGGGAATGGCCGGCAGGGATGTAGCTCAGTTGGTAGAGCATGGTGTTTGCAACGCCAGGGTTGTGGGTTCGATTCCCACGGGGGGCCAGTATGAAAAATAAAAAAAATAATGTATGCACTCACTAACTGTAAGTCGCTCTGGATAAGAGCGTATGAAAAAAATAAAATAAAATAAAAAACGTGGAAGAAGTCAATGGGTCTGAATACTTTCCGAATGCACTGTACATGAAGATATGGTATAGTGGCATATGGATAGATTATAATAAGAGTAAAATGAAGAACAGAGTAGCAGCAGCAGCACATGATGAGTGTAAGAGTGCGTGTGTGTTTGTATGCGTGTGTGTGTGATGGATTTGTGTGGGAGTGACAGTGTAGTGTGTTTGAGTGAGTGTGTATATCAAGTTTCACGTTTTTAATGTCATATGCACAAGTACAGTGAAATGCCTTTCTTGCAAACTCAAAATAATATGTAAAGTCTTGTAAGTGTGGGTACACAAAAAAGGTGCTATCTGGAACCATAGGAGAACCCTTTGAATAACCCTTTCTGGTTCAAGGTAGAACCTTTATGGGTTCCATGTAGAGCATTTTCCACAGTTTCTACATGGAACCCTAAAGGGTGCTCCTATGGGCACAGCCGAGGAACCCTGTTTGAACCCGTTCTTCTAAGAGTGTAGATAGTTCGGGTACCATTAATTGACTATTTAGCAGTCGTATCCACAGAAAGCCAGAGCACCAGCAGAAACTGTACTTGGTAAATGGACACAGAAGTGTCGATGGAGTATGAGGAGAGGCAGTCGGTGTAAATGCAGTGTACAATATGAGACTGCAAGTCCACTATCATTTTAAGCTACTTAGTCATTGTGCAGTGTTTGTTTGGTATAGGTCCATTACACGCTTCTGCAAAGGTATAAATATTGCCCTGGCCCTGACGGTGTTATCATGGGTGGAGTTAGGTGCATGGAATGCGTGAACACAAATACCTTTACAGAACCATCCCCATGTACCTAACTATTTGTGTGTTTAAATAAAGTTCCCTGTGTGTTAACTCTTGGGCTGCCTTATTCCCCTCTAACCAGAGGCGGAGTCACAAACCAGTAGAATATGTAGAGCCGGGTTGCTCTCTTTGATTATTGATTGTTACTGTATGTTTTTTAATCATGTACATCTGAGCCATATATTTAAAGTTCTGACAACTTTTAGAATGGATGCCATTAGCTCCTTTGAGCACTGCATCAGAGATAAACAAGCTTCTTGTTATGAGGTTGTGGAAGCACAGAAGCTGCACTTGTTGGAGTTTCTCTCAGACTGAGGTTTCGGTTTGACCTATACGGCATCATGGCCTCTACTGCAGTTTAACTCAAGGAGGCCTTTACTATTTACTGAAAGTAAAAGCTTCAGATTCACATATGAAATGAAACAAAAGAGCATGGCATGACAATGATAGTCTGTAGATTTGTTACTTTTCCAGGTGCTCGAATCACTTGACATGTAGTAGGGGGAAACTCACCCACCTCCAATGGACCCAGATATTGGGATTCTTTTGCCGTTTATCTTTACTTTATTTTCACGAAATATATCCGCTATCATTTCTTATAACCGACAAGAACTGTTGAACATCAGAACAGCAGTTACTTGCCTTCAACTTCGACTCATCTGCCCTGGGCTCTTTCTGTAATTCCGACCCAATTTACGGGGTATTCAAGAGGAAACGTTGTCGTTACAGAGGCGAGGCAAGAGAGATTAAGGCGAAGGGAAAACCGACCACCTCTTCCCTCCATTCTATTGGCCAGTCACTTGATAAGATGGATGACCTTCGATCGCAGATTTGCTAGCAACGGGCTCTAGTAATTACAATATTCTCTGCTTTAGAATATTAAATTAGAAATAGCCATCAGAATCAGAGATTATGCTACAGGACTGCTGATTGGAATATGTCCCGAGACTCCGCCGATGACGTCGACGAGCTAACCACCTCCATCACCGGCTTCATTAGGAAATGCATTGGCGACGTTGTCCCCACAGTGAAGGTTCGCTGCTTCCCCAATCAAAAGCCCTGGATTAACATGAGGTTGGCGCTAAACTCAAAAAGAGGGCTACCACACACAGGGCTATCGCAGACAACCCTGAGGCTACGGCTGAGGACAGGAACAAGTACAAGAGGTCCCGCTGTGACCTCCACAGAGCCATCAAATGAGCAAAAGGACAATATAGGAATAAAGTGGAATCATATTACACAGGCTGTGGCAGGGGCTACAGTCCATTACGGATTACAAAGGAAGACCCAACCGTGATCTGCCCAACAATTCCTCTCTTCCAGACAGACTCAATGCATTTCATGCACGCTTCGACAATAACAGCACCCTGCCTGTTGTGAGGGCCACCACTGACCCAGACGCCGCTCTCCAGGCAGATGTGAATAAGGTCAACACTCGCAAGGCCTGACGGTATTCCAGGGGAGCGTTCTCAGAGCATGCGCAGAACAGCTGGCAGGCATTTTCACGGTAATTGTCAACCTCTCCTTGACCCAGTCTGTAATCCCCACATGTTTTAAGATGACCACCATCAGCCGACAAGGAGGAGAACAGTGACCTGGCAGTGGGGTGACGGGACAACAACCTCTCCTTCAAAGTCAGTAAGACCAAGGAGCTGATCGTGGACTACAGGAAACATGGGGGTGAGCACGCCCCCATCCACATCCACGGTGTCCAATTCATTAAGGACTGAAATTGGTCCACACACACGCGCACAGTCATGAAGAAGGCGCACCTGCGCCTTTTCCCCCTCAGGAGGTTGAAAAGGTTTGGCATTGGCCCTCAAATCCTCAAATATTTCTACAAATGCACCATTGAGAGGCTACATCACTGCTTGGTATGGCAACAGCACCGCCGTTTATCACATGGCGCTAAAGAGGGTGGTGCGGTCAGCCCAGTACATCACTGGGGCCGAGCTCCCTGCCATCCAGGACCTCTATATCAGGGTGTGAAAGGAAGGCCCGGAAAATCATTAAAGACTCCAGCTACCCAAGCCATAGTCTGTTCTCTCTGCTTCCGCATGGCAATCGGTACTGGTGAATCAAGCCTGACACCAACAGGCTCCTGAACAGCTTCTATCCCCAAGCCATAAGACTGCTAAATGGCTGACTAAAGATGGCTACACGGACTATCTGAGCTGACCCTTGTATTGAATTGTTTATTTTTGCACTGTCTTTATGCACACGCAGAGGTCTCTACACACTCACGCACACTGACACTCCAACACACACACACTCACTTCATCTGCTCACACACACATAATATGCACACACATTCATACAGACTCTATACAAATGCACACAAACTCACATACAATCATCATATATGCTGCCGCTACTCTGTTTATCATATATCCTGATGCCTAGTCACCTTACCCCTATACATTTCTACCTCTATCATTCCAGTATCCCTGCACATTGTAAATATGGTACTGGAACTGACCCTGTATACAGTATTGTTTACATACTTTCTCGTGTTCGTATTTCTTATTTTTATTTATTGTGTGTTTTTTCTCTTCCTAATGTTCTTTTAGGATTATACTGCATTTTGATATTGATTACTACATTGTTGGTTTTAGAGCTCACAAGAAAGGCATTTCACTGTACTTGTGCACCTGACATTAAAACTTGAAACCTGAAATATATCAACTGGATCTATTTTGACATCACTGGTTAGAGGAAAAACCTACAGAAAACATTTTGGAATATTGCATTTTGATACGAGTGTCACCAACACAGAAAGATAAATGCGAGAGGGGGGAGATGAGGTTACACGTCCTGTTAAAACTAACACAGCTCAAAAACCACACTGAATCTGGGAGTAATGAGTCCATCACTGGTTAGAGAACAATTTGTAAAAGACAGCTGGCTATGTTTTGAAGTGTTGCATTTTGATTCAAGTGGGTCACCAACGCGGTAAGTGTAACGCAACACTTTCTTTGTTAATGACTTCCATCAATATCAAGCTGAAATCAATAGAACAGGGGGCAAACGTTTGGGGTATAGTGCTGTTTAAACTAACACTATTCAAAGACCACACGTAAACTTTGAATAACCTATAAATGGTTGGTTAGATGAGAATTTGTAGATATCAACAGTGACAACGGCTGGCTGCTATTTAAGTGATAGTTTGACGTAAAAAATGATCTGTCTATTTGTGTGTGGCCATATGGAGGATCTACTCTGTGCTACCGAGTTCGTATGCTAGCTCGGTAGCTAACTCAAGTTGGCTAACGTTAGCCACTAGCCATGCTAGCATGTAATTACATTCCAGACCAAATGTTGGAGGTGGTGAGCTACAATCCACCAATCACAGGAAGTGTGATATAAACAAAAAGCAGATGGGGCACGTGCGGCCATGCTGCATGCTCGTCACAGACTTTGTGGCTGTGTTATCTAGTGGGAACCTGTTAGCACGGCAGGCTCTGGCAATAGTGTGCAACTGCAGCTTGCAATTCGGGGCGTTCCTGCATGTGGGCAACACCCCCCCTCGAGCATCCCATTGGTTCCTTCATATACACTCCCCCCCCCCCCCCCCCCCCCCCCCCCCCCTCGAGCATCCCATTGGTTCCTTCATATACACTCCCCCCCCCCCGAGCATCCCATTGATTCCTGCATGAACGCTCCTACTGCCAAACACCTGCCCTCGCCATCGTTAACAGAACTGCGAGAAAACAGTGCCCGACAGGCCCGCCCCTTCTTCTGTGGAGTTTATCGGCGTCTGGCATCCAACGTTATTGTGCATTAATGCCACCTAATGTACTGGAGCGCCCCCGCCTCACGCCTGTCCACGCCTGTCCACGCCTGTCCACGCCTGTCCACGCCTGTCCACGCCTGTCCTTACCAATAGAAGTATAAAGAGGGGTTCTTGCAGCTGCATAAATACCCACATGCAGGAACATCCCGAATTGCGGGCCGCAATTGCACCCTTCTCGGCTAGCTGAAAGACATCTGGAATCTATTTAATTGGGATTTCCCTGACTCTCCATCGCCGGTGAAGCGCCTGCCTTCTCCTGGCTTTGGTAGCTAACTCAGCCTGCACGCTTTTAGAGGTTTTATCATTAGATGGGCCTCAGCCATCAACTGTAAGTCGCTGCTCTCTCTTTGCTTTGCTCTGGGGTTATGTTTCAGTTGTGTTGTGTTAGTTGTGTTCTAGCTGGTCCCCAGTAGTTGGACTGTAGCTTGCCTACCATAACCGTGGTGGTTGGCTAGGCTGGCTAGGCTAATAGCTAGTTTGGAAAATAGCTAACGTTTGCTGGCTGGCTAGCTTGCTGGCTAAGATAACTGCATATGGCTAACATTATTTGATAACTGGTTAGATGGCGTTATGTATTTCCAAAACTTGGGTTTTCTTTAATGTAGCTGTAAGCTAGGTGTTGATAGAAACTGGCTTACTCATGTAGTGCTACCATAAAATTAGCAGGCTGGTAAGGCTAACGTTAGCAGACTAGTAGGGCTAACGTTAGCAGGCTAGTTGGCCAGCAACCTTGCAAGTTGATTTGTAACAATACATTCATAAAGTATTTGCTTGTAAGTTGGCTGAAAATGTTATTGATGAGTGTAGTCATGAGTGCAAATGATTTGGTTTAATTTGAAGCTATACATTTTAAGTTGTTTCTGTTGGAGTTTACAGTATAGGGAATAGGCTGCCTTGCCGGGTCCTCCATATTACATCACGTTTTCCAACATGACTTCAGCATTCTTCTGAATTCTGCACGAGTTTATTTAATAACTCGAAAAATAGAAGAGTGAGGTGTAACTTTGCATTGGGACTTTTGATGCGTATACAAATGCAAATCTATATGTTACATGTGGTTAAGTTTATGCTACCTGCCCTTTACGGTATATTTACTTTTACTCAGGTATGACATTTAAGTACTTTTTCCACCACTGAACCAATCAAATCTCCGTTTCAATTTTGACCTAGTGTATGTAATTGGTGTCAGCTGATGAAGGCTGGAGGCAAAAGAGTGCACACATTTTTGGACCATTATTTGGACAAAATGTTCATCAGAGATGTTAGATTTCATTGGAATAAAGCCCATCATTTACCTAGTCTCATTGTAAGAAATAAATTCGAAATCATATACCTAGTTGTCACATGATCTAAATGGGCGTGGTTTTATGAAAACTCGTGTGTTTGCATCCCTAACAGTACAGTCAGCCAGACTTTCTGTAAACATTGGTCAGATGAGGATGATTTATAAATTAGCTTTTTCTATCGCCTTGTGTGTTTGTTTATGTTTTGATCTCTGCACTTCTGAGAGCTACGTTTTGGATGATACAATCGGATTAGGGAGAGAGTTTGACGGTATTGGAGGTTTGAGTGGTGGAGGGGTAAGTAGCTAATGCTAGCTGCTAATACTAGGCTTCTTCATGGTTCGTCTGTACGAGAAAGATCAATGAAACAAGATAGTACATTTACAATCTAATCGTTGTCACTTTCTGACACGTTACCCTGTTCGTTTTAGGCAACATCTCGCCTGCTTGTCAATTATGCAGAACCCTACCGCAGCCAGATAATGGACTACCTCTTCAAGGTAGCTACAACTGTAAACATTCTTATGTCATGTCTGAATACCTCTTATCTAATTTCATGGGTAGCCATTCATTAATCGTATCTTGGTGTGAGATCCATAACAGTATGTCACTTTTATTTGCTGTCTGCAGCCAAACTTTGGGGCTTCTCTACACATCCTGAAAGTAGAGATTGGAGGTGACGCCCAGACCACAGGTAAACATAGAAAATACCTCCTGCACTTCCTTTGTTAGGTTCCTAAATAGCACCCTATTCCCCTTTATAGTGCACTACTTTTGTCAGGGCCCATAGGGAGGTATACTTTGTGTTTATCAATTATATGACAGGCAGAAAATGTATTTGTTACCTTACCTAACATGTAGGCTAGTAAAAGCTGAAGAGTACATTTCAATTCAGTTTTTTCCCCTAGATGGAACGGAACCCTCACACATGCACTACGAGAACGATGAGAACTACTTCAGGGGGTATGAGTGGTGGCTGATGAGAGAAGCCAAGAAGAGGAATCCCAACATCACTCTCATAGGTGAGACTGGACGACCAGTAGAGCCTTTCAATTCTGCCATACTATGATTAGGATAACACACTATACTATACTGAACAAAAATATAAACGCAACAATTTCAGATTTGACTGAGTTACAGTTCATAGAAGGAAATCAGTCAGTTGAAATACATTCATTTGGCCCTAATCTATGATTAGGGGCACAGCCATGGTATGGCGGCAGGTAGCTTAGTGGTTAAGAGCGTTGTGCCAGTAACCGAAAGGTCGCTGGTTCTAATCCCCGAGCCAACTAGGTGAAAAATCTGTCGATGTGCCCTTGAGCAAGGCACTTAACCCTAATTGCTCCTGTAAGTCGCTCTGGATAAGAGCGTCTGCTAAATTACGTAAATGTAAATGTAAATGACTAGGTGCGCTGTCATGGGTGGGCCCACTTGGGAGCCAGGTCCAACAATTAGTTATTACCCACAAAAGGGCATTATTACAAACAGAAATACTCCTCAGCGCATATCCAGTGCTTAACTTGGACTGAAATAGGTGCCGGTACTGTTTATATTTAGGAGCACGAACAGTGCAATACTTTTGAGCTAGTTGAGGTGGAGGAACTCAAGCAGTAGAACATTTGAGGTGCCTGTACTCTTTTCTGGTGAGCTCCTGCCCAAGTCAAGCACTATATATATCTGGTATGATTTCACAGGTAAGACTGATGTAGCTAGGGTGTCAAATTTTGCAAAGGCCATTAGATAAGCGTCAGCTGTGGTCTTTCTCTAGCAATGGTCTCTGTTCATGTTACCTCTTGTACCTGCAGGTTTGCCATGGGCCTTCCCAGGTTGGGTTGGGCATGGGAAGAACTGGCCATACGACTTTCCTAATATAACTGCATCCTACGTGGTGTCCTGGATCTTAGGAGCCAAGCAGTACCATGACCTGGATATTGATTATGTTGGGGTGTGTATTCAAAATGTTTTGTGAGTTGTGTACTGAGAATATTGTAATTGGATACAAACATGATCTAAATATGTATTCCCTCAATCTACCCACCTGTTTAAACATATGCTGTTGATGTTTTCTAACTGTATAGATTTGGAATGAAAAGAACTTTGACAGCAAGTACATCAAGGTTGGTATTTTTGTTTTCTGTTCCTATTTTACCAGCCATTACCATTACACAATGTGAACTGCCTTAGAAGAAAAAACAGCCACTAACATACAGCCACTAACATTTGGTTTTACAATTGCAGCCATTAGTTCAATTAGGTCTATATGCTATTGGCAGAGAGAGATGCAGAGGTATACAATTGTTCATAAAAACATCAAAATCCTATCAAGATCAGCTGTTTGCGTCTGAGAGCATATAATTTGTGACCAAGGTGCTCCGAGACACATTGGATGAAGTTGGCTTAGCCGATGTGGGCATCATCGCAGCTGACGGCAACTGGGAAGTGTCCAATGCCATGGGTGTAGACCCGTACCTCAACGATGCTGTTGAGGTGTTAGGGTAAGTAGGGGAGAACATGGTCATGGACCACAGCTTGCTCTGAAGTGACACAAAATAATAATAATAATAATATGCCATTTAGCAGACGCTTTTATCCAGAGCGACTTACAGTCATGTGTGCATACATTTTTACGTATGGGTGGTCCCGGGGATCGAACCCACTACCCTGGCGTTACAAGCGCCATGCTCTACCAATTGAGCTACAACCCTTGCAATTCCAGCTCATTCCAAATCACTCTGTTTCCTCCATGGCATGGTATGTGACTAATGTCACAGGTATTTCTCTCTGTAAATCAAATCAAATCAAATCAAATTGTATTGGTCACATGCGCCGAATACAACAGGTGCAGACATTACAGTGAAATGCTTACTTACAGCCCTTAACCAACAGTGCGTTTATTTTAAACAAAAAAAGTAAGAATAAAACAACAACAAAAAAAGTGTTGAGAAAAAAAGAGCAGAAGTAAAATAAAGTGACAGTAGGGAGGCTATATATACAGTAAAATAAAGTGACAGTAGGGAGGCTATATATACAGGGGGGTACCGTTGCAGAGTCAATGTGCGGGGGCACCGGCTAGTTGAGGTAGTTGAGGTAATATGTACATGTGGGTAGAGTTAAAGTGACTATGCATAAATACTTAACAGAGTAGCAGCAGCGTAAAAAGGATGGGGTGGGGGGGCAGTGCAAATAGTCCGGGTAGCCATGATTAGCTGTTCAGGAGTCTTATGGCTTGGGGGTAGAAGCTGTTGAGAAGTATTTTGGACCTAGACTTGGCACTCCGGTACCGCTTGCCGTGCGGTAGCAGAGAGAACAGTCTATGACTAGGGTGGCTGGAGTCTTTGACAATTTTGAGGGCCTTCCTCTGACACCGCCTGGTATAGAGGTCCTGGATGGCAGGGAGCTTTGCCCCAGTGATGTACTGGGCCGTACGCACTACCCTCTGTAGTGCCTTGCGGTCAGAGGCCAAGCAGTTGCCATACCAGGCGGTGATGCAACCAGTCAGGATGCTCTCGATGGTGCAGCTGTAGAATTTTTTGAGGATCTGAGGACCCATGCCAAATCTTTTTAGTCTCCTGAGGGGGAATAGGCTTTGTCGTGCCCTCTTCACGACTGTCTTGGTGTGTTTGGACCATGATAGTTCGTTGGTGATGTGGACACCAAGGAACTTGAAGCTCTCAACCTGTTCCACTACAGCCCCGTCGATGAGAATGGGGGCGTGCTCAGTCCTCTTTTTTTTCCTGTAGTCCACAATCATCTCCTTTGTCTTGGTCACGTTGAGGGAGAGGTTGTTGTCCTGGCACCACACGGCCAGATCTCTGACCTCCTCCCTATAGGCTGTCTCATCGTTGTCGGTGATCAGGCCTACCACTGTTGTGTCGTCGGCAAACTTAATGATGGTGTTGGAGTCGTGCCTGGCCATGCAGTCATGGGTGAACAGAGAGTACAGGAGGGGACTGAGCACGCACCCCTGAGGGGCCCCCGTGTTGAGGATCAGTGTGGCAGATGTGTTGTTACCTACCCTTACCACCTGGGGGCGGCCCGTCAGGAAGTCCAGGATCCAGTTGCAGAGGGAGGTGTTTAGTCCCAGGATCCTTAGCTTAGTGATGAGCTTAGAGGGCACTATGGTGTTGAATGCTGAGCTGTAGTCAATGAATAGCATTCTCACGTAGGTGTTCCTCTTGTCCAGGTGGGAAAGGGCAGTGTGGAGTGCGATAGAGATTGCATCATCTGTGGATCTGTTGGGGCGGTATGCAAATTGGAGTGGGTCTAGGGTTTCTGGGATTATGCTGTTGATGTGAGCCATGACCAGTCTTTCAAAGCACTTCATGGCTACAGACGTCAGTGCTACGGGTCGGTAGTCATTTAGGCAGGTTATCTTAGAGTTCTTGGGCACGGGGACTATGGTGGTCTGCTTGAAACATGTTGGTATTACAGACTCAGTCAGGGACATGTTGAAAATGTCAGTGAAGACACTTGCCAGTTGGTCAGCACATGCTCGGAGTACACGTCCTGGTAATCCGTCTGGCCCTGCGGCCTTGTGAATGTTGACCTGCTTAAAAGTCTTACTCACATCGGCTACGGAGAGCGTGATCACATAGTCATCCGGAACAGCTGGTGCTCTCATGCATGCTTCAGTGTTGCTTGCCTCGAAGCGAGCATAGAAGTGGTTTAGCTCGTCTGGTAGGCTTGTGTCACTGGGCAGCTCGCGGCTGTGCTTCCCTTTGTAGTCTGTAATAGTTTTCAAGCCCTGCCACATCCGACGAGCGTCAGAGCCAGTGTAGTATGATTCAATCTTAGACCTGTATTGACTCTTTGCCTGTTTGATGGTTCGTCGGAGGTCATAGCGGGATTTCTTATAAGCGTCCGGGTTAGAGTCCCGTTCCTTGAAAGCGGCAGCTCTACCCTTTAGCTCAGTGCGGATGTTTCCTGTAATCCATGGCTTCTGGTTGGGGTATGTACGTACGGTCACTGTGGGGACGACATCATCGATGCACTTATTGATGAAGCCAGTGACTGATGTGGTGTACTCCTCAATGCTGTCTGAAGAATCCCGGAACATGTTCCAGTCTGTGCTAGCAAAACAGTCCTGTAGCTTAGCATCTGCGTCATCTGACCACTTTTTTATTAACCGAATCACTGGTGCTTCCTGCTTCAGTTTTTGCTTATAAGCAGGAATCAGGAGGATAGAGTTATGGTCAGATTTGCCAAATGGAGGTCGAGGGAGAGCTTTGTATGCGTCTCTGTGTGTGGAGTAAAGGTGGTCTAGAGTTTTTTTCCCTCTGGTTGCACATTTAACATGCTGGTAGAAATTAGGTAGAACGGATTTAAGTTTCCCTGCATTAAAGTCCCCGGCCATTAGGAGCGCTGCATCTGGATGAGCTTTTTCCTGTTGATTAATGGCCTTGTACAACTCATTCAGTGCAATCTTAATGCCAGCATTGGTTTGTGGTGGTAAATAGACAGCTATGAAAAATATAGATGAAAACTCTCTTGGTAAATAGTGTGGTCTACAGCTTATCATAAGATACTCTACCTCAGGCGAGCAAAACCTCGAGACTTCCTTAGTATTTGATTTTGTGCACCAGCTGTTGTTTACAAATATACAGAGACCGCCACCCCTTGTCTTACCAGAGTCAGACGTTCTGTCCTGCCGATGTAGCGTATAGCCTGCTAGCTGAATGTTATCATTGTTGTCGTTCAGCCACGACTCCGTGAAACATAAGATATTACAGTTTTTAATGTCCCGTTGGTAGGATAACCGTAATCTTAAATCGTCCATTTTATTCTCAAAAGCTTGAACGTTGGCTAATAGGATTGATGGGAGAGGCAGTTTACTCGCTCGCCGTCGGATCCTTACAAGGCACCCGGATCTGCGTCCGCGATATCTCCGTCTCTTCCTCACGCGAATGACGGGGATCTGGGCCTTGTCGGGTGTCTAGGATATCCTTCGCGACCGCCTGTAGATGTGGTGTAGGCAATAGTATTCTGTAGGTCTAGAAATGCACTGCTCCATGCCAAACAAACATGCTCTCAGATGCATTTGCACCAGAAGTAAAGTGTTAAATAACATTGCATTATTAAACCCAGATGCCAGTTAAGGTGAATGAGGAACTGAACAGTCTTTCAGTTCCCAGGATCTGGTTAGTTTGCTTCTGTCACCAGTTAGTTTTTCCACTCCACCCTTCTAGAACACTTGGCAGGCAATAAGGAAGTCTGTGTGATGCCATCCCGTTTCATAACTATGATTGCTCTGTTGTGTTCAGATTAGCCTATAAGCTAAAGGTTGGTGGCTGTTTTTACTTCAGTCAGGAGAGGTAGATGCCTAACACAATTACAGTCAAGTCCTGGTAAATGCAAACTTTGTTTTAAGTGCATTTCAGTGCACCAGTACCAATTCAAATACATTCTTCATAATTCATCTGCCTATCTGGACAATCTTATTTAATGCATATATTCATGGCAGTCCCAAGACATTGCATTTACCAGGAGTTGATTCTCTACTAATAGAGAATGTGTACTCTCTAGTATCGAAGATGCATCTATTGCATGGCACTGGCATATGTTAAAGTAAAAGGTGAATACGATAATGTAGTCCACGGTCCTGAATGGTTCTTCAATACTTCATCCCCTTCTCACTCACCTCTCTCTCACTCTGTCGCTGGGTAGCTGCTACGGTACACTCTGGATAAGGGTGGTCAGAATCATAGCCAATGATAACCTATGGCAGCCCATAACCTACTCAGTGCTTGTCGATCGAGAGCTGGCCAAAGCAGTAGACGTGATAGGGTAGGAGAGTGTTTCTACTGGATTCTGCTGCGTCATCTCTTGAAGAGACCACCTCTTCCATTTACTGCAGGATGCATTTCTTCCATCCATTCTGAAATTATTCCTCAGACCTACATTCTGCATTCACAGTTCTTATTTAGCTTATTTTTCAAGTGTGTGTGTGTGTGTCCACGACGTGTATACGTGTGTGTTTGTATGTAGTGTCTGTATACGTGTGTGTGTGTGTGTGAACATGTGTGTTTGTATGTAGTGTCTGTATACGTGTGTGTGTGTGTGTGTGTGTGTGTGAACGTGTGTGTTTGTATGCGCACGTGTCTGTGTGTGTGTTCATCACCTTCATACCATTCCATGTATGTGGACTGCCAGGGCCCACTACCCAGGCACCACCACAGTGATGGAGGCCCTGAAGACGCAGAAGAAGTTGTGGTCGTCTGAAGACTACAGCACTTTTAACGACGAGGTGGGGGGAGGCTGCTGGGCCCGCATTCTCAACCAGAACTATGTCAACGGACTCATGACTGCGTATGTTTTGATTTATTTCTACTACATAAAATCAGCCTTAGTATGGCAATGGTGAGAAAGTCGTTCTATGACATTAAGGGTTGCCCTGTTGACCATGGGCAAGTGAACTTAGCAGTTGGACAAGTTGACCCTGCTTAGATTCATTTATTGTCAGTTGTCACAGAGACGCTGAAATTTGTATTTTTTCATTTGGTAGTCACAGTCAGCGATTGAAAGAGAGCTGTTGTCATTAGACTAAATAGAGTTACCAGTAAAATAGTGGTCAATTAAGGCCATGGCTGCGAATGCTGAGTTTTCGCCCCTGCCCCTCCGGAAACCTCTTTCTCAAAGCTAAGGATCCAGATGTGTTATTTTACTCACGCTACGTAGCTACACATTCTGCGCGTGTGTTATTTTACTCACGCTACGTAGCTACACGTTCTGCGCGTGTGTTATTTTACTCACGCTACGTAGCTACACGCTCTGCGCGTGTGTTATTTTACTCACGATACGTAGCTACATGTTCTGCGCGTGTTATTTTACTCACGCTACGTAGCTACACGTTCTGCGCATGTTATTTTACTCACGCTACGTAGCTACACGTTCTCCGCTTGTTATTTTACTCACGCTACGTAGCTACACGTTCTGCGTGTGTGTTATTTTACTCACGCTACGTAGCTACACGTTCTGCGCGTGTGTTATTTTACTCACGCTACGTAGCTATACGTTCTGCGCGTGTGTTATTTTACTCACGCTACGTAGCTACACGTTCAGCGCGTGTGTTATTTTACTCACGCTACGTAGCTACACGTTCTGCGCGTGTGTTATTTTACTCACACTACGTAGCTACACGTTCTGTGCGTGTGTTATTTTACTCACGCTACGTAGCTACACATTCTGCGCGTATTATTTTACTCACACTACGTAGCTACACGTTCTGCGCGTGTTATTTTACTCATGCTACGTAGCTACACGTTCTGCGTGTGTTATTTTACTCACGCTACGTAGTTACACGTTATGCGCGTGTGTTATTTTACTCACACTACGTAGTTACTGCTTACACTCCCTTTATGTTTCTCTCTTTACTCACCCTCTTCTGAACCATGATGATGTAAGCCTAAACTGAGTGTACAAAACATTAGGAACACCTGCTCTTTCCCTGACATAGACTGACCAGGTGAATCCAGGTGAAACCTATGGTCCCTTATTGATGTCACTTGTTAAATCCACTTCAATCAGTGTAGATGAAGGGGAGGAGACAGGTTCAAGGATTAAGACTTGAGAGAATTAAGACATGGATTGTGTGTGTGCGCCATTCAGAGGGTGAATGGGCAAGCAAAAGATTGAAGTGCCTTTGTAGATTGAAGTGCCTTTGAACGGGGTATGGTAGTAGGTGCCAGGTGCACTGGTTTGTGTCAAGAACTGCAACGCTGTTGGGTTTTTCACTCCCATCTGTATCAAGAATGGTCCACCACCCAAAGGACATCTAGCCAACTTGACACAATTCTGGAAAGCATTGGAGTCAACATGGGCCAGCATCCCTGTGGAACGCTTTAGACACCTTGTAGAGTCCATGGCCCGACGAATTGAGGCTGTTTTGAGGGCAAAAGGGGGTGCAACTCAATATTAGGAAGGTGTATCTGCCTCATATTTCTGAACAGCTGAATTTTTTGAACAAACATTCCCACAATTTAAATATCTGTTTGTTACTGTTTCAGCACCATATCCTGGAACCTGGTAGCCAGTTACTATGAGGACCTTCCCTTTGGGAGAGACGGCTTGATGACAGCAGAGGAGCCCTGGACTGGGAACTATGTGGTGGAATCACCCATCTGGATAACTGGTAACCCACTGCACTTAAAGGGATGGTTCACCCTCAAATTGTGTTTTTTCCTATGTTTTGTTATTGGTACAAATTACAGTAGGTACAGGTTAGCACAATGATATTTGATGACCTTCTTACAGTATCACTATTACGTGAAGCTTCCCCAAAAGTAGCTATCAGCATCTCACATTTCATCTTGTAGTATGTGACAACTGCTAATGTAAAAAGACTTCATAAAATCATTTGATTTTTTGATTTACATGTGACAATATTGTCTCCTAGCCCACACCACCCAGTTTAGCCAGCCTGGATGGACCTACCTGCAGACCGTTGGGCATCTGGCACACGGGGGAAGTTATGTCGCACTGACCGACAGCAAAGGAAACCTCACCGTCGTCATAGAAACCATGGTTTATATTTATCTTCCTGTATAGTACGTCTGTTAAACGGGATATTTATTCTGAGTAATGCCATCTAATGATTTTGTTGATTGTACACTGTGCTTTGAACCATTTCCTAATTTGAATAATCCATTATAGTAAAGCCCTTTTAAGATCTCTGAAGCTTAACTTTTAAGGCTGGTTTTGGAGAAAGTCAACAATTTCCTCATGAGGTTCTCTCTTTCATACTAAGCTGTGCTTTCTCAGGAGCCTACGATCTAAGCTTTAGCTAGAAAAAGGAAGTCAGCTCACTTCCACTTAGCTGTCTGTTGATGCAAGGACCGTGTTGTGACCATAGTTTGTAGATTAAATTGTCTGTGACAACGGGACTGTGAATTTGATAAATGTTATTTTTCTATCTTTCAGACTCATGATCATTCTGTGTGCATAAGACCTCCTCTCCTGCCCTTCAATGTCACACCCCAGAATGTAACATTCCAACTCAAGGGATCTTTTGTGAGTATTGTTACAATTCTCAGGTGATCGCATGCCTGTTAATGATTGAGAGGCTACTTTGTCTTTGTATTTGTATTTGTTACGGATCTCCATTAGCGGCTGCCAAGGCAGCAGCTACTCTTCCTGGGGTCCAACCACAATTTACATACAATAAACCAATACATAACACAACACCTTATTACACACTACTCTACCATAACCTATTTACAATACAAAATCAGCAGAATAACAATACATTTACAGCAAAATAACAATATTAAAATGTGTGTGTAGAGTGAGTGTGTTAGCATGTGTTTGCGAATGCTCTTCACAGTCTGCGCTGTTCCATAAAGTATAGTTTTATCTGTTTTTTAAATCTGATTTTACTGCTTGACTGAGTTACATGATGTGGAATAGAGTTCCATGTAGTCATGGCTCTATGTAGTACTGTGCGTTTCCCTTAGTCTGTTCTGGACTTGGGGACTGTGAAGAGACCTCTGGTGGCATGTCTCGTTAGTAAGCGTGTCTCTGTCCTAGGCCTCGATCAGGGAACTACAGGTATGGCAGTCGAGGTTTGACTTCAAGACTAAAAAGCCGTTCTTCTTCAAGAAACTGAGCCCCTTAAAGGTAAACTGTGATACTTTTTTTTGAGGTGTGCACACAAGCTTCTGAAAGTGTTTGGAAAGATGACATCTGACAGGATGACACTGTTTTTGGATCTTGTTTTGAGTCTTGCACAGCATGATATTACTCCTCCTGAGACCTTTCACATCTCCTCACTAACTTTTATGAGTGGTTACGTTGGATATGTTGTTTTGGTGTGGGCAGTTTTTTTACCACATTGCCATGAGTTTCATGCTGGCTCCCTTCCACTTTCCTTGCTAGATTTCTGATGGTTCGTTCACCTTGAGCCTGGATGTTGATGAGGTTTACACTTTAACTACCATAACCACTGGGCAGAAAGGGACTTACCCTGATCCTCCCCCCTCTGGCCCATTCCCCAAAGTCTACAGGGATGACTTTAATGTTGGTAAGTGCATTTTAAAGGGAGAAATATTTGTTATCTACCAAAAACAACCTGCAAATGATCAAAAAAATTCATATCAAAGTTTAAATTATTAAATTAATGCTTTTCTCTCTTGCTTGCTCACACGCTGTACTCTCTCTACTCTCTCTCTCTCTACTGTCTCTCCCCTCTCTCTCTCTCTCTCCCCTCTCTCTCTCTCCTCTCCCTCTCATTCTCTCTCTCTCCTTCTTTCTTTCTCTCGCTCTTTCTTTCTTTCTTTCTCTGCAGCAAATGCTTCCTTCTCTGAGGCCCCAGACTTTGCTGACCAGACGGGGGTGTTTGAGTATTACATCAACCTGACAGACCCTGGTCCTCATGTCTTCACCCTGCGCCAGGTGGTCACACAGATGCCTGTTACCTGGGCAGCAGATGCCGACCAGACCATCAGCGTCATCGGAGACTATAAATGGTGAGGAGTCCGAGCGGGGGTGGGGTGTATAGGGTGAAGTTACCCATAGATGTTTTGCATTTCCCCCCACTAATGGTTAAGGTTATGATTGGGGCAGGGGAAGCTGGTCCTAGATCTGTACCAAGGGGAAACTTCACCCTGGAGCGGTGGGTATAGTGTGCAAAGGCTTTTGTTTCAACAATAAGCAATACGTCTTAGACTCCTGCTCAAGTCATGATAATAACGTTATTTAGGAAGGGCTTTTCATATATTTATCTGCCTTGATGTGCTACAAATGTCTTATGAAACTGGTGTTGTGTAATCCCTGGAAAGGAAAACAGGACAGGAAAGAGGGCATTTTACGGTGTAGATTTGTAATGTATACTGTATGTTTTCCAGGCAGAACCTGACAGTGAGCTGTGATGTCTTCATGGAGACAGTGAAGACTGGAGGAGTGTTCATCGCAGCCAGAGTGGACAAAGGAGGCGGGTCTGTCCGCAGCGCCAAGGGAGTCTTCTTCTGGGTGTTCGCAGATGGCTCCTACAAAGTCACTAATGACCTTGGTCTGTATTTGATTCAAAAGACATGCATATAGATGGCCAGTTTTCCAGACACAGATTAAGCCTAGTCTAGGACTAAAAAGCAATCTCAATGGCGATTATCCATTGAAAGAGATTTTACATTTACATTTTAGTCATTTAGCAGACACTGTTATACAGGGTGAAAGTAGATTTAATGTCTTCCTGGTACGGGACCTCCTGTGTGTGCATGCGCGTGCACCCAAAACATTTATGGGTGGCAGAACAGCCCTGTACGTTCTGCCGCCCTGTACGTTCTGCCGCCCTGTACGTTCTGCCGTCGTACGTTCTGCACGTTCTGCCACCCTGTACGTTCTGGCCCTCCTGTAGCTCAGTTGGTAGAGCATGGCGCTTGCAACGCAAGGGTTGTGGGTTCGATTCCCACGGGGGCCAGTATGAAAAATGTATGCACTCACTAATTGGAAGTCGCTCTGGATAAGAGCGTCTGCTAAATGACTAAACTGTAACTGTAAACTGTAAACTGTACGTTCTGCCACCCTGTACATTCTGCCGCCGTACGTTCTGCCACCCATAAATGTGCCCACTTTGTTAGTGTTTGAACAGCAGATTGCCCCTTTAATTATTTGAAGTGATACCTGAGTTTTAAACATGCCTGCTTATCAGTAAACTATGTATTGTTGTGTAGTGCACAAGCCATTGATATATTAATGCCTGTTGTTTACCAAGTCTTATTTGTTTCACAGTTGGAAAGACTGTGCTTGCGGAGGGTCATTCTGGAACGAGAGCATACGGCTGGCACACGCTATCCCTCACAGTCGAGGTATGTTCACAACTTCAATCTCTGAAACAGTAGAAAAACTAGTTCCAGGGAAACCTGATAATTATCATCAAAATGCATCTCTGTCAGCTCTTCATTTCATATAAATGACTTCAAGACCTTGGGGGAGGAAAATAGTGTTTGTCTCTACCAGACAACTTATCAAATTGAAGTATTTGGGGGTTACTTTCCTCTCCCTGCCATAGCCTTATACAGTATATGTATCTGTGTTATATGGACACATTAACTAATAGAAACCTGTCTCTTTTCAGGGGGAATGTGCCACAGGAATGCTGAATGGATATCCACTATGGAATAATGCTGTGGTATTGGGACCAAAGAATGGCTGGGCTGCCATAGGAACACACTCATTTGAACTGGCACAGTTTGACAACTTTGCTGTGGAGGCAAAATGATCATTTGTCTGTGTGTGTTGGTGGTGAATATGTCTTGGTCATGAATTAATTGATTGACACCATTATGCCTCTATGAGCCCTTCAATGTGATTGTGTGTCAAATGAGAAAAGGCTAGCTTTTTTATTTCCACAAATGTTTTTAAAAGGGAATAGCTCATTTGAATGCACAGATATTCGATTAACAACGTTTGCCACAAATGTTGTGTGTGTAAGCCTTGCTAGCTTTAAAGATTGAGAAATACTTTGTATTTGCCAACAAATATGGGGAAATCAACCGTTTGGATCTGAGAATTACTGTGATGAAATATTACTTTTCTATGAAGCCTTTTCTATACACTGAGAAAATAATTGTTGCCTAGTGACTAAATACTGAAAGTATTAGTACATTTATATTTTACAAATGTTTACAATAAAGAGAAGGCCTATTTTAAAACGACCTCTAGCATCTTTTTTTCAACAAGTTTGCACCTGCGCAAAAACGTGGTGAAAGGATACCACTTGTTGCTAAGTAACGGGAGAGACGACCAGACAACAGCTAAGCACAGGATGGCTGAGGAAGAAGTTAAGATTATTCATCACACCAAGTGTGGTTTTTATAAACAGCCTGGACTCCTATGCCTTGAAATGTCTTGCAATGGTTATTATTTTCGATTTTGATAAACAGCTACATATCATATAAATAATAATTAACTATGCCTCCGAGCTAAACAGAGAAACCTTGTTTTATTCATTGCCAGTGAGCAAAACAAGGACAAATAGGCTGTGGCTGTTTATTACACCTAGCTATGTAGTTAAGGATAATAATAGCTAGCTACAAAGGGTAAGACCAATAATTTACATATACACTAGATGACTGATGGAGGCGCTGTGTTGAAGACACCCTGCCACCATCTTGGCACTCCCCCACCATTTAAAAAAATGTTTTGCAAGCTATAGAAATGCATTTATTCATGTCTACATTTGTTTTTGCCGCATTTATTATATTACAGACTACTTAATGCATACTTTTAAATTATATGTGAACTAAACATAAAACATTAAATAAAACATTTTCATTAAAGTAAAAAATGTTGAGATGGCTAATGTTACTGTCCCCACTACAACAACTAAAATACTTAACATGTAATTTGGTCCTTGAAACATTTAATTGAAATACTGTAAAATTCCATTCATTCCTATGGAGGACTGCTCCTTCTGGGGACTGCCAATATGACCGACCGGTGACTTCAAAGCCTCTCAATGGCCAATGCATAGCATCAGCAATCCAGAGTTTATATACACCATTGGGTAAGACTGGGTTGACCAGAGCCATGCCGGCCTAAAAGGTCCCCCATCTGTGTGCAGTTCTTGTCTACCTGTGTAGTTGGGGAGTCCCTGGTGGAGAGTGTTGAGCCAGAGGACAATGGACATCCAAATGAAGCTGAACAAATCCTCATACAAAACATTTCCAAAGTTACCAATACATCCTAAAAATCCAAGTGACACTCATAGCATGACTTAAAACACCCCATATCGTTGCTGTCGGATGAAAACTAATCTCCAAAAAGGAAACTTTTCAGGAAATTGAAAAAACTGCTGTATTTCAATACGTTTAAGAAAAATCTAAATTGGTTACGAGGTTTTCACCTCCGATCTGATATATTAATTATGTGTTTTGTATTTCAGGTAGAATATCTCTTCAAGATCATCACCCAAGTGGAGTGAAGTGGGACTTGTCATCAGGATTTAACATCAGATTAGTACCCTCTGTGATTCAGAATTGTACTCGCATCATATTTAAAAGTGATTTAGTGAAAGCCTTTTCTCCCTTTGATTATATTTAGGGGGAAGTTCTTATATAAAGTTATGTTGTAGCTTTTTTATAATGTGATTAAAGGGAAACAACACAATTGTAACAGTTGATGCAATTAAGCCATGATGTCCTACTAACAGTGAGTTTACTTCAAAAGTCATATTTAAACACTTGAAAAGTTTGAACTGAACAGTTTGGGTGCAGACAGTATTTCAGCCATAACATTTTAAATGGCCCCCCATTTCGCTTAGACTTTGATTAGGTTGATTAGTAAATGTGTCGTTCCCTGCCCTGTTTTGTTAACACACAGCTTTCTTTGTGTTGTTTTTCTGCAGACCATTACTTAAAAGCCCTGAGAACGGGATGAAAGCCTGACTGAGGCCAACAGTTACTTAACATGTTAACGTGCGTAATGAACTTGGGTGTGCTTGGTAACTAAAAAGTAGTCCCAGTAGGATCATAATGACTTTGATTTGTCTTGTGATTTCAAAGGATACATAAAAAAAAATGGCAGCTCATTGCGTCACTCTCATGTTTCCACTCGCAGCTCTAAGCGTACATAGTTGCTTGCAGTGAAACACCACATTATTTAATTGTACATGCTTAATCAGCGTGAGCCACAACAAAACAATTTCAAATTGTGTTTTAATATTTTCCTTTCTGATATGTAGGGGTAAATCAAACTACAGGTCTGAGGTATAAACACACATTTTACTTGGACTTAATCCCTTTTTTACCCTAAAAAAACCCCAGATTGATGTACTTGTATTTGGTGTTCAAATAGTTTGAGTTGAAAAGCAAGACAGATTCTTGATACTTACAGTTCCTCCTGTTAACGTGGCTTCCTCTGCTCTTCCCTCCCACTGGACTGACAGTAATGACAAACCATCACACGTGAAAATAGCGGTTGACATCCATCACATAGCACATTGTTTTGCATTTATTCTGATCGGTGCAGTTGAAAGAGGAGATGAAGAAATGAGAGGAAGCCACAGAAGACTGGAGATGCATCCCTCATGACATCATCCAACAGGGGTCAGTCTCTACTTATTTTGAATGTCAGTATTAGACCACTAGATGGAAGCCTTGCCTCAGCTATGGGCTGATTGGAGTTTTCCAGTCTTACCAGTATAACAATTATACAGAGAAACATACAGCAGACATTGTATATCATATCTGTGTACTGTATATGTTTAAACATAAATAGATTAATTCATCTTTACCATAAAGCAATGCAGCACATTACAGCACATTACCCAGTGTAAGCAGGTATAGCGCACTGTGTCACAGGGTCCGTTCAATATGCTGAGCTGTAGGTGGATGGGATCCACTGAGAGTGATGCTGGTCACTGTTTCTCAAAGCCTCTTAAGCCATGGAGGGATGTCTCTTTCACACACACACAGAGAGGACACACACACCATGAGCCGAGGCCTTAATTCGTTGGGGAAATTTCCCCCAGTAAACCTCAGCTTCATCGGTGTTCAGAAAGAAAATGTGTTTTGTTGCTTAGGAACAGTTTGCCTTGCGTCTCTGCGGGTGGTCTCCTTGTGAATATCATTATGTGCCCCTCGATTCGTGAGGATGACACATTTTTCTTTTCTGCCAATATTTCTTGTCTGCTCCAGTCGCTCTCAGGAGGCCTGGAAAATGCTTTCATTGATTAAAGGGGGAGTTAGGCAGTCAGAGTATGTGAGAGACATGTCACCTACCTGTATATTAATGTCTAATTTATCAACATTATATTTCTGGGGGACAGCTTCAAGCTTACAGTCAATATTGTTTTGTTTTGCTTTATGGGGACAACTCAAAAGACAGTCTCATTTAAGTGCAATAACATCCCAAGCCATGTCCTCAGAGCATGTGCAGACCAGCTGGCTGGAGAGTTTACAGGCATAGTCTCGCTATATCCCAGTCTGTTGTCCACCATTATTGTGCACCATTGTTCCTGTACCCAAGAAAGTAAAGGTAACTCAACTAAATGACTATCGCCCCATAGCACTCACTTCTGTCATCGTGAAGTGCTTTGAGAGGCTAGTTAAGGACCATATCACCTCCACCTTACCCGACACCTTTGCACCTACAATTTATATATCGCTCCAAGGACGACGCAATCACCATTGCACTGCACACTGCCCTATCCCACATCGACAAGAGATCAGCCTTCGAACCCTAATGTGCCCTCCAAACTCATCACTAAGCTCAGGGCCCTGGGTCTGAACCCCTCCCTGTGCAACTGGGTCCTGGAATTCCTGAAGAGCCGACCCCAAGTGATGAAGGTAGGCAACAACATCTCCGCCGATCCTCAACACTGGGGCCCCACAGGTGTGCATGCTCAGCCCCCACCTGTACTCCCTGTTCACACATGACTGCGTGGCCACGCACGTCTCCAACTCAATCATCAAGTTTGCTGACGACACAACAGTGGTAGGCCTGATTACCAACAACGATGAAACAGCCTACAGGGAGGAGGTGAAAGCCCTGGCGGAGTGGTGCCAGGAAAATAACCTCTCCCTCAACATCAAAAAAATGAAGGAGCTTATCGTGGACTTCAGGAGATAGCAGAGAGAGCACGCCCCTATCCACATCGACGGGGCTTCGGTGGAGAGGGTCAAAAGCTTCAAGTTCCTCAGTGTACACATCACTGAGGACGTGAAATGGTCCCTTCACACAGACAGTGTGGTGAAGAAAGCACAACAGCGCCTCTTCAACCTCAGGAGGCTGAAGAAAAAGACCCTCACGAACTTCTACAGATGCACCATTGAGAGCATCCTGTCGGGCTGTATAACCGCCTGGTACGGCAACTGCACCGTCCCGTCCGCAACTGCAGGTCTCTCCAGAGGTGGGTGCGCACCACCGGGGGCACACTGCCTGCCCTCCAGGACATCTACAGCACCCGGTGTCACAGGAAGGCCAACATCAACAAGAACTTCAGCCAACCGAGCCACGGCCTGTTCACAACAACAAAAAAGTGTTGAGAAAAAAATAGCAGAAGTAAAATAAAATAACATTAGGGAGGCTATACAGTGGGGAAAAAAAGTATTTAGTCAGCCACCAATTGTGCAAGTTCTCCCACTTAAAAAGATGAGAGAGGCCTGTAATTTTCATCATAGGTACACGTCAACTATGACAGACAAATTGAGAAATAAAAATCCAGAAAATCACATTGTAGGATTTTTAATGAATTTAATTGCAAATTATGGTGGAAAATAAGTATTTGGTCACCTACAAACAAGCAAGATTTCTGGCTCTCACAGACCTGTAACTTCTTCTTTAAGAGGCTCCTCTGTCCTCCACTCGTTACCTGTATTAATGGCACCTGTTTGAACTTGTTATCAGTATAAAAGACACCTGTCCACAACCTCAAACAGTCACACTCCAAACTCCACTATGGCCAAGACCAAAGAGCTGTCAAAGGACACCAGAAACAAAATTGTAGACCTGCACCAGGCTGGGAAGACTGAATCTGCAATAGGTAAGCAGCTTGGTTTGAAGAAATCAACTGTGGGAGCAATTATTAGGAAATGGAAGACATGCAAGACCACTGATAATCTCCCTCGATCTGGGGCTCCACGCAAGATCTCACCCCATGGGGTCAAAATGATCACAAGAACGGTGAGCAAAAATCCCAGAACCACACGGG